GTATGCTAAAACTTACTAGGAAGCCTAAGGGTGTTGGGTCTTTGCAAAGAATCACTATGAAATATATCCCTGCTTGTTGAAGGAAATGATGATTCAGAAAATCCTACAAAAATATTTTCAAATCATTGAAATGATGGCATAGGTTCTAAAATTACTATAAAAAATATGTTTTTATACAACCGTGTCAAAAATAATAACTAAGCACGCTGTAAACGCTATGTAAATAAATTGTTTATGTTTTGATTCGTGCATGTGTATAATTTAATTTATAATGTGTGATTTTTGGTAGTAGGAAAAATATCGTATGCTACACTAGTGGGTATAGCATAATTTTTCACTCACGTAAATAACTATTAATATGATATAGAACTATGCGACATTTATTAGTTTTGTCAAAATAAGTCTCAATTTAAAGAAAATAAATCGTGACTTACCTGTGTAACTAGGGCTATTTCGATTTGGCGACCTGTGCGGTGATAAACCTTCTGGTGATACTGCAAAGAGATACATATATTGTTTTTATAATTTGCGTACAAGAATAGAAAATTATACAGAGTGTTCCAGTTCTATCTATCAAGCTGAAATATAGGTAACAAAGATTAAGATTTTAAGCATATATTTGATTTAATTTTAAATATTGTCAATAAAAAAAGTAGCTACGTAATTTTGAAAATAATAATAAGTGTTAAAATAATGTTTACCTACTAAATTTTCTGAACTTCAAAAACTGATTTTACAGAAACAATCAAGTTTGTACACTTCTTATTAAAAATTTTATGAATGAAACATTTGTAACACCATTCTTGGCGAAATCGACAAATTTCCTGAAAGAAAAATTCGAAATATTTAAATACCTTGACTCTTGGAACTGTAAACAACTCCGAACGATATTTTTTTTCACTTTTTTGTGACATTACTCTTTGCTGTGTAAAAACAAGACATAGGTATATTTACTTCTTAAATCTGAGAGACCATAGATGTTATCTTCCTGTTTGGATGCTTCATATTCCTCAGTGGGAAATGTAAGCGGTAAACCCTCACGTTTGGACATAATATCGACACAATTAACACTAATTTACAAAAAAAAAATTGATATGTATCACTGACGACGGAACCTCTCCTAGTTTTGAATGTCCGCACGTGGCGAGATTCGGCTAAAACGAAAATTCCCGATTAGGCTGCAAAATTTTAAACCTACTAGGCATCTAGGGACGTTCCCCAACAGCCTATAAATGTCATGTCGGCAATGATAGTATGATCAGTATCTCCATAGTAGTGCACAGCGATGTTTGATGACTATTTTTCCGATTGTTATTCATTTGTTTTTAAATTAAAATAAGTCTGTATTAGGCCTGGGTCGCCTCGCCTGATCGTCATCCAAAGACTACGATTTGACTCCTGCTGAGAGAGATTTAGGATCTAATAATTTCTAAACAGAAAAATTATAATAAAATATTATTATACAAAGTTATTAATAATCGGCAGGAAGTCAAAATTGTCATTGTATTCGCGCAAGATATATTACTAGACTTTTAATACAAATTAAAACATTGTTAACGGAAAAGAGAGGGATAAAACAGGACATCTATTTTAGATTTAGTCGATTTCGTATAAATATTGTTTTTATTTCAATAATCATATAATTATCTTAAATATAATTATACATCATTTAATACTCACAAGCGATAAGGGCTAAACTTATTGTTGCCACGGCGTTTAGAGGGTTTTCCAGCATCCTTTTGTTTGTCTCCAAAGTCGGGAGGAACACCAATTGTTGGTCTGGCAACAGCAACAACTGTCTTCCTAACGTTGGAAGCAAAGGACTTGGATGGTGGTAGCCTGGAAACTTTCACTGACATCCTGGGATCCAAGATGAAGTTCCTGACCATCATCTCTTCTTCCTTAACAGCACGACGGAGCGTCTTCCTTAAGACTGGGTCGCCTCGGCAGATCGTCATCCAAAGGCGGTAAGCCCTGACTCCAGATAGGAGAGATTTAGGATCCAATAACCTGTAAATAAAAAAATAATATTAAAATAAATAAATAGGAAATAGAAAAATTAAAACGTACCTCAATATTATTATCCATAGTTCAACCGGCAGGAATGGAAGGGTGTTGTCAACCACTGGCAGCAGACGAGACATCTTTGTTCAGTCACTGTAGACAATACATGTCAAACTGAGGTGCTACTGGCCTTTTTATACCTTATAAGGGACTGTATGTGCAATGAGCGTGACTTGACGCTCCAGTGAGCATCACTGGAGCGCAACCGTAACGCTCCAGTGAATGCTGCCCTTACCAGATAATAATTTATCAAGTTAATGATCCGTGCCTTCTTTATATGATGTTTTCTTAATAAAATCATACTCAAAATTCCTTTACAGCCGCAAAACCATCTTTAAGATTATATATAACGATTTCTATATACATTTTGAGTGATTATTTGGCTCACCCTGTACATTTATTGTTTTTCAAGTCTCTCAAATAAATTATTAATAACTCAATCATAATTTTATATTTTCCAGTCTGGTCACAGTAACATCAAATCCCTTACAACAATTTCTGTACGTTCCGGATATTGCTTCAGCTTCAAATATGGGCAGTGAAACTGCCCGTTGTTTAAGCGTAGCATGTTTAAAGGGTGAATCCAGAACTGCCTCTGCTTAGTCCTTTTTTTCCTTATTACGCATGTTGTTGATAAAATATTACTGTCCTCTATGATCAGAGAGCTGAAATTATATTGCGCCAGAACCGCAACTTAGAATAAAATATGCGGCTGAACCGCAGCGGCCGTGCTGCACGGTTAAGCCGCAAGTGTGTTATCGAACTACTGTTCATACATTCTAGTTATCTGTAAAAAAATAATTTATCCCATTGTTTTTAATATTTAGATAGCATTATTTTCATTGTTTCCATTATCTTTTTATCATTATTTTTATTTAGACATTTAGACATTGACTGTCTATTACTAATATTTACTCTATCCATGCCATCTGGTCGTTAATAAAAGAATGGATATGTATCACTGACGACGGCACCTCTTCTAGTTTTGAATGTTCGCACGTGGTGAGATTCGGCTGAAATGAAAATTCCCGATTAGGGTGTAAAATTTTAAACCTACTAGGATCTAAGGACGTTCCCCAGCAGCCTATAAATGTCATATGTATGCATTAGACATGAGACGCCTCGCCAGATTATCATCCAAATACTATACGATTTGACTCCTGCTAAGAAAGATTTAGGATCCAGTAAAAATTATAATAAAATACTATTACACAAAGTTGTTAATAATGGCAGTAAGCCAAAATTATCATTATTCACGCAAGATATATTACTAGAATTTTAATACAAATTAAAACATTGTCAACAGAAAAGAGAAGGATAAAAACAACAGGCCATCTATTTTAGATTTAGTCGATTTCGTATACATTGTATTTCAATAATCACATAATTATAATTAAATATAATTATACATTATTCAATACTCACAAGCGATAAGGGCAAAACTTATTGTTACCACGGCGTTTAGAAGGTTTTCCAGCATCCTTTTGTTTGCTTCCAGCATAGGAACCAAAGTCGGGAAGAACACCAATTGTAGGTCTGGTAACCGCAACAACTGTCTTCCTAACGTTGGCCGCAAAAGCCTTAGATGGTGGTGCCCTGGAAACTTTCACTGACATCCTGGGATTCAAGATGAAGTTCCTGACCATCATCTCTTCTTCCTTAACAGCACGACGGAGCGTCGTCCTCAAGACTGGGTCGCCTCGGCAGATCGTCATCCAAAGGCTGTAAGCCCTGACTCCAGCTAGGAGAGATTTAGGATCCAATAACCTGTATATAAAAAAATAATATTAAAATAAATAAATATGAAATAGAAAAATTAAAACGTACCTCAATATTATTATCCATAGTTCAACCGGCAGGAATGGAAGGGTGTTGTCAACCACTGGCAGCAGGCGAGACATCTTTCTTCAGTCACTGTAGACAATATATGTCAAACTGAGGTGCTACTGGCCTTTTTATACCTTATAAGGGACTGTTTGTGCAATGAGCGTGACTTGACGCTCCAGTGAGCATCACTGGAGCGAAACCGTAACGCTCCAGTGAATGCTGCCCTTACCAGGTAATAATTTATCAAGTTAATGATCCGTGCCTTCTTTATATGATGTTTTCTTAATAAAATCATACTCAAAATTCCTTTACAGCCGCAAAACCATCTTTAATATTATATAGAACGATATCTTATACATTTTGAAAATTTTAAGTGATAATTTGGCTCACTCTGTACATTTATTGTTTTTCAAGTCTCTCAAATAAATTATTAATAACAATCAGAATTTTATATTTTCCAGTCTGGTCACAGTAACATCAAATCCCTTACTACAATTTCTGTTCGTTCTGGATATTGTTTCAGCTTTAAATATGGGCAGTGAAACTGCCCGTCGTTTAAGCGTTTCATGTTTAAATGGTGAATCCAGAACTGCCTCTGCTTAGTTCTTTTTTTTCCCTATTACGCATATTGTCGATAAAATATTACTGTCCTCTATGATCAGCGAGCTGAAGTACTATTGCGGCAGAACCGCAACTCAGAATAAAATATTTGCGGTTGAACCGCAGCGGCCGTGCTGCACGGTCAAGCCGCAAGTGTGTTATCGATATTACTGCTCGTACGTTCTAGTAATCTGTAAAAAAATAATGTATCCCATTGTTTTTAATATTTATGATAGCATTATTTTCATTGTTTCTATTATCTTTTTATCATTATTTTTATTTAGACATTTAGACATGGATTGTCTATTACTAATATTTACTCTGTCCATGCCTTCTGGTCGTTAATAATTAATATAAGAAACCATGTCACATTTTGTTTCCTAACTTACGCAATTTGTTTATAATTTTACAATCAAGGATTTATTTGTTTTTTCCGTATTTCTTTTAAATTAAATAATATTAACCTTCTATTTTATTTCTAACGTGCAATTAAATAAAAACGTAGAAAACCATTTTATTTCACTTTTTATGCATATATCAACAATAAATTAAGTCAACAAAAATGAATAAATCAAAGAAACAATCAGCTGGCGCTAAGAGTCACATTTCAAGATATGTATATCCAGTGTAAGTTTCTTCGATTGGAATTCTAAGGCTTGCAAGGTTTTAGAACTCAGGAATACGCCTCTTTTCAATTCTATGATTTCTTGTAGAGTCACAGATCCCAGAGAAAAAACAGAACTGCGTACACTTAAAAGAACATCGTCACTATCACCACTTTTAATTTCCACTTTGAATTCGTAGTCCTTTGCCGACATCTTGTTACCCAAATACCACACCCATATCAGAATGTCCTGCAAATACCTAAAAAAAAGTAGTTAATACATTTTAATACATTGGACAAATAGGTATTCAAGTTAGTACTAATCAGCAGTTATGGAGCATAACAGATTTACGCAACAGGTACAAGAATTTTATGAGGGAGGGAAAAGTAACTAGAATTTGGAAAGGATTATGTGCAAAACCATCGAAGAATTCTAACTAGCTCGGGACGTAAATAACGATTTTTAAACTTACATAGAGGTGTCATCGCTTTTATGAGAGTTTACTTTTAAAAAGAACAGATTGCCTTCCGTCGTCACAGCATAGCAAATATCGTTTTCCTCCTCTAATTTCTTGGAGCATATTTCAAATTTTGGACTAAAATATTGTATCAATGGGCCATTGTCGCTATGATTTAACTGGAAATGTTCGAAAATATTGTTTCCTGAAATAAATATGAAATTATAATTTGGAAAATATATTTAAAGCCAGATTAACCTTTTACTAATTTGGTGCAACTGTTGGAAAACGGACAATAAAATAGTATACCTTCATCCTGTGGTAGATTTTTTAAATAACCTAAACTATTGTACGCTTTCGGTTGCGGTGTATGGCTTTTGGTGTCGAGAGATTCCAAAGATCCATGGCAGGAAGCAGACGTTTCTACGTTAAAATTGCTATTATTTATGCTGATTATATTTTGATCAGTCCTTTCTCGTCTGCTCAATCTAGAGATTGATCCAGATCTCGACACACCAGGACTTGCCGACTGAAAAATTTCGTTTGTTGATAATGACTTGGTTTTCAGGTGACTGCTATTGAAATAGTTTTCGTCTGTGGATATGTTAGGTGACAAGAATTTGTTAGAGGTTAAATTGTCTACAGATGAAGACTTTCCGATTATTTTTGCCAAGAACTTGTTCGTGTGGGAATGCGTTATTTTTATGTCAGGGACGTTTCCTTTTTTGTTGGACTTAAATATTTTCTGGATTTTCGCTGCTCGGGTTTCATCCGCTTCTTCTCGTAGGTTGAATGTGTCTATTAATGCGTTGTATACCTAAAAATAACTTTCTTTAATTTATATTAGAGTCAGATTCGATGGTTATCTCAGAAACTATAAAGATAAAAAAAATCATACAGTTTAGAGTTGGTTTTATTAAGACCAATCCACATTTGAACTTAAAAACAAATGAAGACATTTTTTTTGAGAATCAAGAACGCGTAGCGTAGATAATTTTTATCTATCCTTAGTAGTTACAGACCTTACAGCGTGTAACAAGGACGTTGAAACTAACTTTTAGAGCTAACTTTTCTCGTACAAAAATATTTTTTTCCCTGAAAGGATTTCTAAGAGCTCTATGATTTTTCAAAGATTGAGCTACTATGAGGAAACTGCAATGTACCAAATTTGTCTAATTTATATCTTCAATGACTTTGGAGTAGCAAATCAATCCTCACCATCGTTAAAGGATTATAGAACACTTAGAAGTCTTATTAGGAAAAAAAAGTTATTCTCGCATCTTTCTTTATTTTAATGAGAGGAATCAGTTTGTTGCAACGTCGTTGTTGCACCCTGTACACTCGGAATAATGTAATGCCTACCTGATCTGATAACAAGGATCTCGCTCTGGATAATCTCAGTCTGCACACGGGACATCTCTCTGATCTCGTTCGACATCTTATACATATTAGATGTCCGTTATCGCATTGGTATGTGGGGGGTGATATTGTATCCAAACATACTGGACATTCCAAGAACGCCAATATTGTAGACATGCACGCTGATAGGCGCTGCAAGTTATTGGGCAGGGGGCCACAACATAAGGCCTAAAATGTTAGTTATTAAAAACACAATCATACATCACTTGATAAAGATACATATAGTGGCAAAAATGTTCGGGAATATGTTACAATAAGTTAAAATTTTTTATTATAATCTAAATATATTTATAACCAAAATACATGTATGAAATTTCGAGCCTTGGCAACAATTTAGGAAAAAATTAGTTTTGACCCATATTTGAGCCAGTTTTCACCCAAATAGCGGATTTTCTCAAAAATATCGAGGTCACGGGCAAATTTTACTAATGGCATCGCGTTCAGCGCCTCAAAATACTTCGATAATGATAGTCTGGACAATTTTGACGCATATTTGGGCCAATTTTCACCTAAAAATGTTACTTTTCTCCGCAATTCATTGAGAAGTCATGAACTTTGACTACAGGATCGTGTTCGGAGCATCGAATTCTTTGGCTTGGACCGTTTTTATGTGCCTGTGATATTTTTCAAACACTTAATAACGCCACTGACTCGGCACACAAATGTCAAACTGCAATATTTTATATAATATTCTAACAATAACTAGTACGTAGACACCTGTACCTATTTTCAGTTCACATTTTTAAAGACGCCTGTTTTTTAAGAATTTTAATTCTGCTATCTAGTTCGTTCGATTATAATTACTGCATGGTAATTATTATATTAATCGGATGGATAGTTTTTCCTTCCGGCTTTTGTCATTTGTCATTCAATCGGTTACTTAGGTACGTTTCAGTTCCTGTCTGGTTTCTATAGTGTTTTGCAAATGACACTTTCTAGTTTTTGCAATACTCCAAGATATTCGTTATTAATAGACTATACGTATTTATTGAGCACCACTTTTTTGAAACATCTAAACGAGCTATAAAATTATTGACTCACTAAAATAGTTTTATACTTATGAAAATTTGTTGTTATATTTTTTCATATTTTTTAATATTCATAAACCAAGCAGGAACAATTTTGTTAATTATTAGGTAAATATATCACTGTTTTTGTTTCAGTTATTTAATTTTATTGTAAATATAATTTTTATAGTTTTGATATTATTATTAATAATTTAATTTTTTAATTTATGGTTATAGTAGTATTGGCGAAGATCTCCGTGATAAAAAATGACGTGGAAATTTATTCGTATTTATTATTTGTGAGCGGATTAATAAAATATCCAAATAGTTGTGTATTATTTTTTATAAAATCTGAATCAGTTTTTCTATAATATTGTAAATGCAACTAAAAATTTCTAGTCGTTTGACCTTGAAAATTAAAATTTTTTTTCTTTCTTGCCCACCTAGTAAAAAAAGCCACAGGTCTCACCTATTTCCAATGTCACGAGCCGCTACTGCTCTTCAGTACGTTTATCAATGATTCTGAAGGGCCTTACTTAATCGTAAATCTTAAAAAATACAAGTTATAACACACCTATTAATATGAATATTTTAGAGGAATTGGTTTGATCCAGATAAAACACTTTCTACTCAGTTTGATGAGTAATAACGTATGAGATACGCCTATCAATCAAAACCACAAATTACACAAACATTTTTTTAATAACAATTCTATTTTTTGCGAAGTGAAGTTTTCCGTTTAGGATTATGCGTACAAGGTCTAAGCGGAAGGTTAGCAAGTTTTATTTCAGATATATAATTACTGGAGACAGAGGTGGACTGAAAGCATATAGCCCTATAATGTTAAAAAATATATAGTTGTCAATAAATAAAAAGCAGAGCAGAACACAAATGGGAAATATAAAATTTCAAGCGTAAAATATCCAACCTCACGTAGCAATACACCGTGACCTAATTTATCAAATGTCTGTGTAGATCACGTCCATCTGATATCTTCAGCAACAAATTGGGTAACATACATTAGCTTGGATACAGTAGATAGGTTTAAAGCGATGCTGCTTAAGAATAACCAAGTTTGTTGTTTAAACAAACAACGGTGTTGCTCCACCGTTTTACAGACTAATGCGTAAAGTATTATAGTCTTTCCGATCTCAATTGAAGAACCAAGAGGTTGGCGATATGTTCCAGGTTCGGTCGCTGACGCAGCAACTCGGCACTGAAATATTTGAAAAACTTGTTCCCATATTTATTTAGCCATACCCATATACAGGTCTGGTCGAACTAAACGTGGAAGTGCTATAAATGTATACGCCCAGATGAAGAATGCGCGCGCGGCAAACGGCGTATAACACAGCCGCACTGGGCGACTGGGCAATAAATCTCAGTTGTTGACAAGTGGTTGACAAATTGCCTAGCAGTGCAGTGAAGCAATGATTCTGGTAATTTTAATTTATTATAGGCACCTTCTATTAATCATTGATATTACAATTACGAAAGGGAGAAATAAGAGGGATATTTTGTTTACTAATATTATTATTACAACATGGCATTTTGGAGACATTTTGGAACGGAACAAAACGAAATTTATCAACAATATAATAAAATTGTTGAGGACATATGTAAATATTATGTTGTTGGCCAAATGAACATACTTATATAATAGAAATTTTCGACAGATTATATGCAAATTATTATAATTTTTTACCTTTAGCAGAAAACTTTTTTAGAGGCGCCTATGAAACTCATTAAATGTTATTGCTAGGCATTTTTATACATGTTCAAGCGAGTTCGGCAAGACTATACCAGAGTTTGGCAAAAAAAATAAAAAAACAAGCAAAAATGATTATGCAGTTATACCATCTGTATAGAATGTTTTCTTCTTTACCCTACAAACAGAATGGCATCATTAAAGATAATTGCTGGCAAAAGTTGGACCCCAATTCTCAAGAAAGCAAAGCTTAATTTGCATTGATTTGAAGCTGTCTTTTCTCAGTGCTCTCGGATCCCCAGCGTAAATAATGAGTTAATGTGATATTTGCTTTCTTAAAAAAATTATTTGTTCATTAAAACTACGAAATGAGTTCATATTCCAATAACTGCTTTCACAATTGTTTAGATAGATTACATGCATATCAGAAATAATATTACTCTTATAATTTTTTATTGCATCGAATAGTTAATAAGATATAACAAACTGTAAACTATGAAAAGGATTTTAATGGAACTGAGGTAAATTACAGAAAATTCTGTTAATTCCGCATTACGTGGTTTAATAGAAGGAGATATACTTAACCATTGTTAATAACAGCCCAAGGTATCGGTACAAAACTTATAAATAACCTACAGGCTTAAAATTTATTTACCTATTGTTTCTAATGTAATTATTTTTTGAAATAGGTACTAGAATTTATTTATTAAAGAGATATTGTCTGGTAAACATACTCCCACGTTGTTTAAAAATGCATCCGTTTGTTTTTATCTTATCAAACATATATCCTGCAATTATTTTGTTACATAAGAGTAAAACCGACCTTCAGCTAAGTTATTTTCCAATTTCTGCTTGTTAAAGCAAACAAAAAATAACAATTGCAAATTAATTACACGAGTAAATAATTACAAATGAGAAAAGTACCTACACAATCCTAAGGCAAGTCAAGTTACAGTCGATATTTTGAGAATTGTTTTCAAAAGATCGGTAAAAATAATTTTTATAGACTTCGTATTTCATTTCCTCAAAACTTCATTTGACTATAAATCAAATTTCACATTATGATCCATTCTGCAAAATAACTTCGTGTGCTTTTTCGTGTACAAACAGATAACATTCGTAGACTTAGGATGTGTGTGAAGGTGGAAGGTGCCCATATTGAAAATGTATTTTGATAGTTTTCTTTCTATTAAATAATTTTTTTTAACTACCTTTAACTTATTCTTGTTTTGTTCTTCTATTTTGTGTCATGCGTAAAGTGTGTTTGTCAAATTTTATTAGTGAAAATTACATTAGCAGACAGTAAGATTTTCTAGGCTCTTATTTTAAAAATATGTGCGGTTCTAATACGGTTATGTCCAATTAAAAATTAAAAATAAAAAATGGCGGAGACGCCGCTCGAGGTGCACTGTGACAAAATCACAATTTTTTTTTAAACTGTTAATTTTACCGAATTGTACCAAGAGGGTATTATCGTTGGCAAATTCTTCAGGGAACTTATTTTGGATACAGGCAGATTGCGATTGTCATGCATGCAAAAAGTCTAGGTTGTTAACCATTGGGCATAGTCTGTTCCTTGCGTTCTGGGCATAATGAAGTTTCACATACAACATCAAAAACAAGCTGTACGCGTGTGTTATCGATCACCAAATTTGCATCGTGCTGAAGTTAATAGTTTAGAGACTGTAAATAAAAATAATATAATTTTCACATTTGAGGGCCCGTAACTTGTTTCGAAGGCCCTTATGAAGAACTGATATTATTTTGACCTCATCTATTTACACTCGACTTTTTTGTTATCAAGTACCGGGGCACCCTGTATATTGTGGATATATTTACTAAAAATATTTTACCACAATGTTTCTATTTAAAATGATTTACAGACATTTATCAAAAAATACTGATATAGATCTGACCTTGTGGCTTTAATTTTTTTTTTTATTAGATTAGCTGAAAGTTATCAATATTAATGCAATTTTTGTTATAATAAAATTTATATTTGTATAGTTTGTGGTACAAAGACAATTTCTATAGAAATTTTGTAAACATTTACAAAAATATTTAACAAATGTTCAATAGTAATATGGTGGTAAAAGCTACAATATATAGATATTTGTATAGAAAATCTATGAAACTCTGAATTATGACAAAATATAACCTCATAATCAAAATATTTGAAAAATATTCTTAGGTTCCTTGTATATCAAAAACAAACGAGAAAAACAATTGATGTTGCCAACTCTTGAATGTATAGCTTCTTTTTTCAAAACACACAGTACCAAAGTAAAACAAATCAACGTAGAAAATGAACACAAATCAAGTCCGCGATACTCAAAATTGTTTACATGCTTTCCGCATTAATCGAACAGCGCCATCTCTTGGTTAATTTTCGCGAATTAAAAGTAGTACAAGCATTTGTGCGTACTTATTGTTAGAATGTATAAGAATTAGTTGTTGAATTGTATATAGGACAGATACTTTATTTACCTCGGGCGTACATTGAGGATCGATGCCAGCATTCCATAGCAGTAGGGAAACTTGATCGGGTTTAGATCTCACTATTTCCGCAACTTCCGATATCCTGTGCCCAATAATATCCTCACCGTTGACTTCCAAGAGACAGTCGCCCGGTTTCATCCCGGCAGCCGCCGCCACTGACCCGTCGTCCACGCCGCTTACCCAAGGATAGGGGTCCCATTTTCCGCGTGTTAAATGAAAACCGCACGTCGAACCATTTCTCTCAATTTCGACGAGACGCACAGAGGGATTGTAATGATCTTCCACGTCTGAGTCTGGCAACATATTCTACTGTAATGGTGCAACCTTTGCCGCTTTGACTTTCATATTTATTTTCACCTCTATGTTAATTTTTTCAAGGTTCGTACTTAAGACTTGTTTGCCTTCTCGCATCTAAAGAGAAATTTGCCGAGATGTACACATTTGTTTAACTCGCAATTATTTTCCATATGCATTTAAAAACATTCTTACGTTCGTGTTCATTTCCTATTTGAATAATTTAATTTTTCAGTTTGTAATTCAAGGTTCTTTATATACAGGGTGTAAATAAATAAGTGAGACAAAAATTAAGGAAATAATTTTTCGTTGAAAACAGCCACATAACAAAATGTTGTCTATTTGTCATGCGACATATGTTATCCGTAGTATTTCTACCTCCTGATCACGAATCCGGTGCCAGAATTGAGCTATCACATCACAGGAATTTCCTAACCTCAAAAAACTGGTCAAAAATAGCAAAAATTCACGAAAAAGTGCCTGGAACATTATAAATAAAATTGTTTTTCTATATTCAAGCGTTCATTTCAACGGATCCGAGGTCAACTTTGCAAAATTCAAGATGGCGGATCCAAGATGGACGACCAAATTTTCAAAAACTAACACATTCGCGCCAAATTTGGTATACGGGAGATTTCGAGGTCACCGATTACGAATCCCTGATCAGATTTACAAAATTTGTTTTTAAAAATTTAATCAATTACCTATGTACTTAATAAAGTACATAGGTAATTGATTGATTGATAGGTAATTTCAGGTAATAACCTGAAATTAGGCAGAAAAGCCGTGAATAGACCTTTTACAGAAGAAAGAACAAGATATAGCCAAAAAAAAGAGGGTTAAAACATGATTAGGTACTCAGGTATAAAAATATTACAAAATGAATTTCGCAATTTCTGACCTGGAATTCGTAAGCGACCTCGAAAACCCCCGTATACCAAATTTGGCGCGAATGTATTTCTTGAAAATTTGGTCGGCCATCTTGAATTTTGCAAAAAAAAAACCCGTATACCAAATTTGGCGCAAATCTTTTATTTTTTGAAAATTCGTGACATCTGACCTTAATTGACCCGATTTTTTGAGGTTAGAAATCAATCCCAAGATAAGGAAAACTTTTTCCCGAAAAATCAACCAAAAAGGGGACACACTGTATACGTTTATTGTTATTTTGCTCTATTTTTTATTTATTGACAACAGAAAATCCAAATTTGTACAACTTTTGTCTGAACAATAATCAAGCCGGTTGCTATGTTGTTATTTAAACAACTTCAAACGTTTCGACAGACTGTTCTTCACTTGTTCGAATGTTTTCATTAATCATTGCCCTTAGAAATTGAATTCAATAAAGTAATTGTTAGTAATCTTCCTTCTATCTAAAGTTAATTTATTAATTATTACCACACTAGGACTAAGTAGAAATCCAATAAAGCATATATTATATTAATGTTAAATGTTCCGTGGTGCTTAAGACTCTCAAGGTAATTTAAATTAATTTTAAGCTTTTAATCTGTTATTTATTTGCTTTGAAATATTAACACCAATTTATACTACCTATATCACAAGTTACAAAACTAAATGTGTTGCTTAAATTATATGTAATAGACTGTGCAACATTTTTTGACTACATTACTCCAACTGATAAGTAGTATTTAAATATTTAGTGGATATTATGTATAATATAATGATTCAAAAATAGCTTTCACTGATAATAGAAAAAGCCTAGGCACACATGTTATGTTTGTAAAAGCTCGATATAATCAATCATTTAATACTGAATTAAAGAGTGGTATTATAATGGAATACCCTTCTATTCTTACCAATATTTTAGAAACTATTATGTTGGGTGTTTCTAAGGCATGATGCCGAACTGAAACGAACTTCAATCGATAATCTAAAGACATGTGCAGAGTTTTATTAGGAATTGATTAACTATTTTGGGTTATACCACCCTGTATATAAAATATGAAACAATGGTGTCAATATGTTATGTTAAATTAACACAAACTATTATTATACGTTTCTGTATCATTTTTGTAGAATCCAATGCCCACTTGCCCTTGTATTTTTCCCGCCCAAAACATAGAATATCCTTTTTTATTTTAAACATGAAATAAACTATCAGCATTACAGTAATGATTGCTGTTAATTGTCTGTATTGTTTTCGGGCATCCATAACATTGCCTTGAAAAGTGTAAAATATCAGTTGTTTGTTTTAATTAATAACACATTAAAATTCTCAACAATTTCATTCGAAACGATTTATGTAATAGTGCACGTGCACTTCTTTATCACTACTCTTAGTTTGCAAGAGGTTGACAGTATATACCAGGTTCGGTCGCTGACGCAGCAACTCTGCATTGAAATATTTGAAAAACTTGTTCCCATATTTATTTAGCCATACCCATATACGGGTCTGGTCGAACTAAACGTGGAGATGGTAGAAATGTATACGCCCAGTTGAAGAATGCGAGCGCGGGCAAACAAAATACAAACACAGCTGCATTGGGCCACTGGGCAATAAATCTCAGCTGTTGACAAGTGGTTGACAAATTGCCCAGCAGTGCAGTGCAGCAATGCGGAATTTGGTGTGATTCAGGTAATTTTAATTTATTATAGGCACCTTCTATTAATCATTGATATTACAATTGCGAAAGGGAGAAATAATATTATTACAACTTGGCATTTTGCAGACCTTTTGAAACGGAACAAAACGAAATTTACCATCGATATAATAAAATTGTTTAAGGACATAAATAATTAAAATATGTTGTTGGACAAATGAACATATAATAGAAATATTCTACGCATTATATACAAATTATTATATTTGTTTGCCTTTAGCAGAAAACTTTTTTAGGGACGCCTATGAAAGTCATTAAATTTTATCGCCAGGCGTTTTTTACATGTTCTACTGACTTAGGAAAGACTTATATTGGCAAAAAAATCTAACATCAAAGAGGCTGTTAATTGTCGAAGATGTTCTCCGAAATAATCCAGTTCATTTTTCTTTGACGGAAATTTAAAAGTAAATAATATTTTGCAAATGGAGCTATACTGTAGTGGTGCGTAAAGTATTTCAATTTACGTACTAGTGTTTATAATGAAATATGATAGGTTAATAATAAAATACGAGATAAATATAAGCTTTGTATTTTGTTTTTCATTTTACGCACTGGTGCTACAATTTATTGATGGTTTTACCACATGGTTCGGCATTTAAATCGTTTATCCAACTAGTTTTCTTTTTTTCTTTGTTATTATAAAGTGTAATGGTGTAAATTAGAATCCTTTTTAATTCAATAATTGTTATTACAACGTATTTTTGTCAAGAAGTTGTGTTATTATTATCACTGAAATTTACTGCTGGTTTACATGCACGCACATGATGAGATTTACTAGCTTTACAGCAAATATTTCTGGACAGGTCAACTTAAAAGTTTGTTGCACTATGACTTACCATAACCATAAGGAACTCTACTGGTATTTACGGCCGATTTTATACTAGAATCCACGGTGCTTTTCTTGCCTGAATAATTAAAGTCTTGAATAGCTCAGTATCTAAAAGCTGCAGAGTTGTTCTTGATACAACAGGATATTCTTCGTTTTTATTATAATATAATAGCCAGTTGATATGCCAAAAACCTTTATACAAGGGCAGCACACAATATTTTTTCTACTACTCAAGGGCGTTATAAATTATATTTACTTTTGTTTTACGCATTAGTGCACAAAATATTTCGATTTACACACTAGTGCACAAAGTATTTCATTTTACGCCTTAGCGATCAAAGTATTTCATTTTACGCACCAGTGCTCAAAATGAAATAAGATGCCTAAGGCAAATATTGTTTGTTTCTCCCATTTTAATATTTCCCGTTTAACTTATCCCAAATTTAAATTAAAAAATATCAATTTTACTTCAGAAAATTACTGGATAATCGTCAGTTTAGCAATTTAATGCGACATTCATTTTATGGACTAGTGTCTAAAATGAAATAAAATAGTAAGATAATTATGAAATTCAATCCATTATTAAGTTTCATCTATCGAAAAAATCAATTTGGCTCTATTGGTGCTAAGCATAAAGACGCAAATCTTTCGTGAGAATATGCTGCAAAGAGCTTTTCGAAATGTCCAATTTTTGACCACGGTATCGAATTGATGTTCTTGGACTCTCAGCAACACTCTCACGAACTGCTTCGATGCTTTGTGTTGAGCGACTTGTTGAAGGATGGACAGAGTGCTTAGGATCACTAATTAACCCAGTCTTCCTGCATTTTTCAAATAGTTTCTTCACAGTTAACGAAATTTAATCTTCCGACCGTATTTTATACAAAAATAGCTGCCGAACCTTCATTACTTTTAAAATATTGCTCAACAATGAAAACGTGCAGCGCTTCATTTTTAGTCAAGAAACAAATAAAATTTAAACTGTCAAAAATAATTGAACATTAAAAGTTATTATCAATACGGAAGATAAAATCAATTTGATTTTCGAAACGTCAACAACTTTTTAAAGTGTGTAACATGTGACGATGTTTTTTTAATTTTTCTACTTTTTTCAGTGTGAGATATTTGGTTAGGCAAAACTATTTCTATAAAAATAACCCCAGATTGATCCTTTTGGCGCAAAAGAATTTATTAATTAAAATATCCAATAAATAAGGGAAAAAATATTGATTATTTCCTGGCAAATATCATCAAGCAATGGTATTAGCCTGCCTACAGTTTATTAAATTATTTCTGAATAATTATTGGTAGTGTCACAGGGACGGACACATTAAAATATAAACATATTTTTCGCTCGTGCGTAAAAAATATTTTTAAAAAATTATAAAGCGATTTTTTTGTACCGCCTATGTTCGTTAGTTTGGAACCATGCTATTAAAAATACGAGTATTACCAGAAGTAGTAAGATTAACGGTGTGTTGTGGTTCATATTTATTTTAATGCAAATTAGGTCACATTTTTCATTTACCTGTCCCAGCTAAGTATTGTTTTCACATAAATGCCTACATATTTATTTTTACTAATT